GGGGGAGGGGGCGGGGAGAGAGAGAGAGAGAGAGAGAGAGAGAGAGAGAGAGAGAGAGAGAATTTAATTTTCATAAGTACGCGGTGATGCGCCCTCCTCATCGAGCTGACTTTTCATTCATTATGTCGTGATTAATAAACGGCGATTCCCCGCGGAAAGGGTACGCGTTGCTCTTCTACATTCGGATGTAGTTTAACAGGTACTCCAGGAAGCCGGCAGTAATGCGCTCCCGACGATACATACATTATCGGGTAATGTTGAATATTCCCAGCGGCCCAGACGCGGATTTTCGCACTGTGCGTCCGCTCTTGTGACGACCGCATCCAGCGGAAACAGCTTTTACCTCGGTAACATTTTGACGAGTATTACGTAATTCGCAGTCACTATGCCTCGAGGAAGTTTCCGGGTACGTGCCGCTCTCGTAAGGACGTATCTCGCGTCTTCCGCTCGCAGATTGGAATTTTAACTTTGTCCCGTCAAATCGGACCTAAAATACTTGGATTATATTGCGAGGAAACGGCGAGATCGGCAGCAAATTTCCACGTGACTCTACAGTTGAAAATGGGAATTCCATTTCTCGCGAAAGTCGTAGCGCTCCGTTCCCGTTCGGAAATGTTGCAACATCGATGCAGGTTGGGCACAACTTTGGCACCGGTTGTCCGAGCGCGTCATAACGAAAAACAGTCAAAATCGGCGAGTCTCAAATTTCGCTAATAAAGCGGCACGCTATTTTCTCCGATGCGCGACTTCCCGAATTTCCACACGCACGCATCTTTGCGCGTCGGATACAACGGATAAATTCATCTCGGTATTTGCAAGCACATCAGGATATTAGCTCGACGTTTATCAAGATATTAGCTGACACTCCTCCGCTCCTTGGCGGCGCTCGTTTTAAGTTAAACGCGATGAGCAAACATCACCCTTCCGCCGGGCTCTCGCTCTCGTCGGCGTCTCGGCGCCGCAGAAGAGAGACGTGAATGCAAAGTGGTTGTTCGCTGGTGGGATCGGCTGTGAATCGGTACAGCTTAATTGGCAATTAGCATGCCGCCAATGAAAATATCTGGGGTCGACAGGTGTGGCTGCTTAATTCAATCGGCGCGTCTCGAAAGCTCCAATCTCAGTCGCGCCATCCAGCGACACCGTCGCCGTGGCCGTCGCCGTCGCCGTCGCCGTCGCCGTCGCCGTCGCCGTCGTCGCGGTCGTCTCGCCGTCGCCGTCGCTTTCAACCTCCTTTCCGATTCGCTTTCAACCCGCTATCACAATCGGATGTGACTCGAGCCCAGGCGAATCCAATCCGTTCGAGGAGAGTACCAATTCTTTATTTGTCCCCGACTCACTCTCTCTCTCTCTCTCTCTCTCTCTCTCTCTCTCTCTCTTTTATCCTTTCTATCGCTTCCCCTTCGGACTTCCTGTCTCCTTCTCTCTCCATCTCATCCTTCTTCTTTGTCCCTTCGTCTCCCCGGCCCTTATGACTCTGTTCCTCCTCTCGTGAGAATCTCCCCCGAGGGGAAGATTCGCCAGCAAGGGGTGTAGTTATCGGTTCCCCGGGGCGTTTCGATCCTCTACCCCTCGTGCCGCCACCCTCGTAGCGGTTGAGCGAGACCGCGTCTTTTCCTCCCGACAGGCCTCCCGACTAACGCGTCATCGGACAACCGACTCGATCGTGATCTCACGCCTCGCCTCGTTCGCTCGCGCGAAAATCGCCGACTCGTTTTCTTTTAATACTGATTATCTCGTTACCAAAACCAATCCGAATGCGAGGTCCAATTGACCACGCGGAACAAGTGGCAATTTCTCGAGGCGAGGGCACTGCGTTTTGCGTTAACCGCTGCGCTCACTCGTCACACTTGCTCTTCTTCAATGTCCTTCTTCGTTTCCGACGCTTCGCCCTCTTGCTCTCTCGTCGGCCGCGCCGACGGATATCACTTATTGATTATTCGGTCGGGAGCCGCCGCTCCTGCCTTAATTCTCCACCGAATCCTTCGCGGCGTTAATCCCGAGATATTTAAATGTGCAGTCCGACGCTCGCGACCGCGAGAGATTAATTTTGAGCTACCGATTCTTTCGGCGCTACGTACGCTCGTAGCGCGAGATGAGAGTCGTTATTATGGAAATAGGATCGCGTAATTAAAGCGCGGCGAGATCAGAAACCGGGTGGAAAAAATTTTTGCTGAAACTTAGTTACCGTCGGAATTTTTCATTCTCCGGGACGCACACTCGTAACACAAATCCAATTAATTAAAACTTGACTCGCGCGCGCGCGCGCGCGCGAGCTTGCGCGAGCTCATCGGTTCGATTGGGGAAGGCAGAGACTCAATGAACACGTAAAAATTTCTGATCGTGTCCTCCGCATGTCTTTACAGGCGAGTACCGGCCGGTAAACCGGCCGTGCGGAGTCTTGCCGTGCTGCAAGCCTTGTAAATGAAAGTTTCAAACACAATCGTTTGAAATCGAGCCAGACGACGCGTTATCTTTGCCGCCTGTCTTTTTTAAACCGTCGCTCAGTATCAACATCGGCGTCGGCGATTAATTAGCGACGAGGAGCACGAGGGTAATAAGCAGTACGAGGGTAATAAGCAGCTTAGCCGTTAATTACGTGTCTCCGTGCGCCACAGGAATTACGCACATATCGAATCGCGTTAAAACAGCGCATTAGCGAATATAGGCTGCGTGATTAATCGAGACACGTCGCGAGGAAACAGGCAGGCAAGCAGGCAGGCAGGGGGGACGGAGGGACGGGGACAGAAGCGGTGAGATAAAGAGAGAGGAATTTGCGCTCTTAGGATTATACTGCATGCGAAACTGGCCGGTTGATCTGCCGCCGTGGGCTGCGCGTTTCACGAGAGAGCGCACCCGGACAAAAATGAAAGCTACAAACCGTGGAAGGAAGGAAGGGAGGAAGGAAGGAAGGAAGGAAGGAAGGAAGGAAGGAAGGAAGGAAGGAAGGAAGGAAGAAAAGTTGCGCGAGGCAGCGCGGGGCGACGGGGGGAGGGACGGCGGCTTTTGTGCCCGGGGATAAAAGCCACGGGATCCCATGGTAAGCCGCGGGGGAGATAAGGAGAGAGCCGCTGGTGCTTCTAGGTCGAGGATCTCGCGAGCGCGCAACCCGCTGCGCGTTACTTCTTATTTTTCTCCCTTACCGTCGTGTGCTTCAGCTGTCTTCTGCGGCCTTTGTACCAGGTTATCACCGCGGGTGGCCTTGAACCAGTAGTCTCGCACTCCATGTTGTATCGCTTGCCCGCCAACAGCGACTCGTTGCCGATCCCTTTCCTGCCCGGCCTCCTTATGGTCACAGTCAGGGGTTTCACTGTAATATACACGCGATCGAGCAAAAAATTAGCGTGGATTCTCTTTTTTTTCCGCTGGTTACGCGAGCACGAGCGCGAGCACGAGTTACTCGATGCTCGCGGCTGCAGTCGAGCGAGGATGCGTCGAGGCAAGGTGTCGCTCGAAATCCTGAAATTCGCGGCCATCGATCGGCGCTTGAAACTTTGATCGAGATAAATATTTATACGCCCGACTATGCGGCAACGTATATTGAATTAATGAAAATACCGGCAGGGACATTGCGTCGCTGTATTCCCGTGTTCGAACAACGCGTGCGGAGGAGCGAATTACGAATTGACAATTTTAGAAATATATTTCAAATGGGAAGAGATTAACGGCGCGCGGGATCCAATTTGGCCGAATTAATTAATTCACCGGCCGTCGTACATTTAAAATGCCGTCGCGGTGATCGCGCGCGTAATATCACGTGTCGTTCTCTTTTTTTCGCGTTATTATCGTGCAACATATTTGTACGTTGAATATTTTATTCGGCGCAAGCACGCCGGAGAGCGTGCGTTTCGCGTGTTCGCGAGCGGATCTTCAAGCTGACGATCTCTATGCGAGCGCACGCGGAATACAATGTGGAATATGACGCGATGTAAACGAGGGCCATGATATTGTCGAACTAATAATTTTGCTCGGGTAATGTTCAATAAGTTTGATCAACCTTCAAAGTTAATAAGCTGCGCCGGTAATGCGCCTGTCGATGCGGCAATCTCGCGATTGATACTATGCCCTGAAGCGCCGAGAGCGCAGATAGAGAGAGAGAGAGAGAGAGAGAGAGAGAGAGAGAGGGGGGGAGTAGAAAGGAGAACAGGACAGAGGCAGGGAGGGAGGCTCTTCTCACTTTTACTCTGCTCTCTTGTTGAAAACTTCAGTTTTAGTTTTTATTTACGCATTGGACGCGCGGACGCGCTTCGCCGAGGTAACAAAATCGAAAACTGGCAGCGAGTTCGCGATGGTTAGGTCCCCGGGTTAAATCTCCGTTTCTCGTCCCTACCTCCCCGTGTGATTCTCGCTTCCGCTCCGATCTCGCTTTTTCTCTCTCTGAGCGCATCAATCTAGAATTTTTTTATTTGTCGCTATGACCGCGCCTCTCGCTCGCTCGTCGATAACCGGCCGGTCCATTTCGTTAGCAGCCCCGACGAAAACCCCGTGATTTTCGGCTGGCCTGATTATCGCGCCTAAATCGATCACTGTGTGTCGCTCACCTCGGGTACTCTCGATGGGAAAAAGTAAAATTCTCGCACCCATAACGTACGCGTAAAAAGGGCAAGACCGATGATATTCTCGTGTGAGAATGTCGAGTAACGAACAATGGTACAATCGAATCTCAAGGGCTGTCGAGTCGTCGTCGATGAGATAGCAATCGGTGCAAGAGGAGAAAGAAAAAGAAGCAGTCGAAGAGGAAGAAGAGTAGTCTCGTGCGCGTATGGAAACGGTAGCGAATTGGCATTCGCGATACGAATCTCATCGTGTTACGAATCTGTCACGAACGTTTCTCTCTCTCTCTCTCTCTCTCTCTCTCTCTCTCTCTCTTTCTCTCATGTCGCCTTCAGCCGGTTGGAACGAGATAAGATTTCACCGGTCGATTTTTCGGTTTACTACCGAAATTAGGATCCCGCCACCTTCTGAACCGCGTGAAAAACCATGTCCCCTCCTGTGTATCCGCGCGACAATGAATTAACGGAGAATTCTAATTTCAGGAAGCCTAGAGAATAGTCCGCCTTTCATGCTTCTTCGTACTCTTCCTCGAGCGAGGGCGAACGCGAACCGGACAGACGGGGCCGGAGGGTGGATTTAATATATTTCTCGTCTTATCTTACCTTATCTTCCCTTAAAGGTGACTCGCGGCGGCGAGGGAGCAAAGGATGTTGGCCCACTTTCGGTGTCTCGTAGATCTTATCGTTAATGCGAGACAAGATAGGCTCGCGGGGCGAGGCCCCTGATTTGTTGGCCGCGTGATAAGAATTTGTATTTCTCCTTCGCTCCTTCATTGGTGCCGCGCTTCTAATCAAAATGTTCGATTTTTCGTTCGGAGAGTCGCGCCTCGCACGCACGATCACCAGATAGTTCCGCAAAAATACGCGCGCATATTGTCTGCGAAAGTGTCCCCTCCGCGTGAACAGTATACACTCCCTACTTCTGCTTCGCGCGCCGAATTCTTCTCCGTTCGAATCAATATCGAGGGATTTAGATTTACTTACGATTGAGGTCCAGGGAAATCGACGTTTCCTTCGCATCCACCAAGTCCGTGTTGCGCGCTTGACAGGTAAAATTCGAGCCGAGATCGGACCGAGCGATGGGCTGCAGCGTTAATCTGTTGGCGTTAAAAGAGGAAGAAAGATAGGGCTGAGTTTTAAATCTATTAATAGGTCTATGTTAAAATCTATTTTAGATCCAGTTTTAGATCTATTTGAATCCTTTACGGTGCAGAGGGCGTCGATCGCGTCGAATATTCAGGATTCTTTATATATCGTGAGGATTCTTTATATATAGTGATGAACGAAGAATATAGAACCGAGAATATAGAAGATTAGCGCGTTTTACCTATTCTCGATTACATCCCCGGCGTTATTTTCGTACTCTTCGTCTTTCACTCGGCCGTTTTTGAGCCAACTGACCATGGGCTGCGGCTTGCCTGCAACAAATGAGACAGGCGGGTTGAAAGATAGCTTGTTAATTTTGCGACACCTTGTATAATGTATAATGCAACGGTGAAAACACGAGATTCAGTCGCGAGAAGAGTAACTCTTCGGCTCCGAGTCTCCATTTTCCGTCGGGGTCTCTTCGATCTATTTCTTCGATATATCGCACGTCGTACTTATCTCGTGTCTCTTCTTAATCTTGTCTTCTTATCTCGACATTATGTATATCGTTATTGTTATTACTAAGATTGTACATTATTATTATCGTTGCCGTGTATGTGTCGCTCATAATTACGACTACAAAGTAAACCATAATCGTCAGTTTCAAAAGCGCGCGCGTCCTCAACGGAAGCCGAAACGACCGCATTACGGGGATAATGCAGTTCATTGCGCGCAAGCCGGAAGAGTAAGAACCTAATAACTTCCTGACTCGGCGCGGGGCTCAGTCGTAACTATTGTTTAGGGCCGAAAAACGGGTGCGGAGGTTTGACCGATGGTGGCGGAGGCGAGAAAAGCGTACTCGCGCGCGCGCGCGCGCGTGCCCCGGAAGCGGACAGTGGACACGCCGAGGATCATCGTGTACACAGTGCAGCGAGCTTTAGCAGCTACTAAGCGGGTAGATGAGTTTCCCGGGAACTTTTAAATTAGCCGATACCCGGGAGCCTTCGGGTGGTCGGTATGCCGAACGAACAAAAACCAAGGGACCTCGGCGGCGGCGAGGCTGCGCGTTCGATAACTGCGAGTTATAGGTTGCAGCGCCAAATAAAAGAGGTCCAATAAATACGGGCCGTATAACGACCGGAATACACGGCGGGAACGAACGATCAAAGTGATTGAAAAATTAAAAACGAGATTACACGGCGGCGGAGATTCCGCAACGGGGTTCATTCTCATTCTTTCTTTCTTTTTTTTCTTTCTTTCTTTCTTCCTTTCTTCCTTTCTTTCTTTCTTTCTACTCTTCATATTTTCTCTCTCTCTCTCTCTCTCTCTCTCTCTCTCTCCCTCCCTCCCTCCCTCCGTCGATACTGAAATGAAGTCTGCGCGTAAGTAAACGCAGTTATATATAGTGCAACTCGACGGATTTTCTTGTGTATAATTTTTTCAACCATTCGCTTGTTATCACGAGCAAGCTTTAAAATGTTTAAACTGTACGTACTTTATTTCCTGTAAATACGAGGGGAGGAGGTCGGTTATTAATGGTGTTTTTTCCGCGCGCTAGTTCGCGAAGTAATAGCGATCGATAAGTATAAGAAAAAAAAATTAAGAGATGTTGAACTGGCAACTGACACGGCGAAATATTATATTTGCATTGTTAAATCTTCCAAATGGGTTTTGCGTATAATAATTATAATGATAATAAATCTGTAATAATGATCATCGTCATTATTACACTAAAATATAGCCTGGATAATAAATGCAAAAATAATCTTGAAATTATTTGTGTATTTGATATAAGAGGTTATCGATATAATATGAGGTAATCTCGGTTTTTAATGACGTAGCTTTGCATCGCTTGAACATCTAAACAATTTCCCGATATTCTCATGGAAGTAGATGCAATTTTTGTCGTATCGCGAGATATGTTCATTTTCAAGTATACACATGCAGCAAAAACAGTACAAAATATCGCGCAATGAATTGTTCATTTATTTAATGCTTGGAACTCTCCGATAAAGCGCGATAAATTACTTATTCGTTTCAGAGAACACAGTATACAGGGTGCTAAATTTCAAACGTAACAGGTAAAAAATCTCGAAAACTATGAAAGATATTAAAAAAAGCTAAAACACGTGTTCCATAATTTCGAAAGGGAAAGAGAAGGCGCATTATCAGTTTTTTATTTGAAGGGCATTTTCAGTTGGTTCAATTTAATAATTTTGAAATTTCCAGAGGTCGATAAGTTAACAAAAGTTAGGACACTATTAAAGTAATATATTCTTAATAGTAAATAAAGTAAAAAAGTCTAATACTATTTTTTCTTTCGACGAATAGTTAGCGAGATATCGTAAGTTAAATGTTGAAAAAGTTACCAAGTTTTCCTTAAATATTTTAAAAAATATTAGGCAAATAAAGAAATGTTTCAGACAAAAGCTGTTAAAATTAATCGCTAAGAAAAAGAAGATATAATAAAAAATTGGGCTTTCCATTTTAAAAAAATTAAATCCACCTTCAACTGACTGAAAATGGCTTCCAAATAAAAACCGATAATTCCCATTCTCTTTCCCCTTCAAAATCATGGAACATATATTTTAGCTTTTTTTGATTCCATTTAATTTTCGAGATTTTTTATCTGTTACGTTTGAAATTTAGTACCCTGTATATGAGGCACGTAGACGCGCGATTAGAAATCCATTTATTATTCAATGTAATATATCCAGAAACAATCATCAAAATAATTCTCGATCATTGCTACAGCGTATTATTTTACTGAAAGTAATTTTATCGGAAACGAAAATATTTTTATCAGAAACGAAACATAATTTATCTCCGCATTGAGTGATTTTCTCGAAAAGTTGGAGTAGCAAGGAAATATGTCTTTTGTTTTTGTTATAATCTCGTTTTCTCTCTCTCTCTCTCTCTCTCTCTCTCTCTTTTCCTCTAAAGTTCATTTCAAGTTTCATTTAATTTTCTATAAAGAATATATGTAATTTCCTGAATATGATTCATATGTGCGGTTGCGCATTTTGTCACGTACATCGGATAACAGCGACCATCAATGAGACAGGTCGCGGGATTACGCCGAGAATCGTCGCGACAATCATCGCGAGTTAAAAGCGCGGCTATCGCGGGCGAATCACCGTTTGCACTCAGCATCCTCGCGCATAACAATACGAAACGTTGAATGAGATAAATCGCCGACTCGTACCTTGGCAAACGCGACGCGGATGTATTTTTATACGCGCCCGCGCAACGCAACACTAATTGTAGGTAAATACACGTCGGAGGGAACGAACGCGCTGACGTGATGCACGGAAGTATCGACATTTTATCGCCGATATTGGCGTAATATTTGCAGATTGCTATTGCTGACTATCACACCAATATTTGTGCTACCTGGCCGGAATTATGAAACGGACAGACCGGCGACGTAATCGGCAGAGAGAGAGAGAGAGAGAGAGAGAGAGAGAGAGAGAGAGAGAGAGAGAAAAACAAAAAGAGACAGGGGAGGGGGAGAGAAGCATGTAACGAGGGTAAGCCGTGGCTTGTACCGGACACGGACGAAGGTAATTCCTCTTACGGGAAATAGTGTCGGGTTCCGCACAATCTCGCTTCGTTTCGTACTTATTGGAAGCGTGTGCAGCTCGCTCGTCTGTCCTCTATCTACCTCCTCTCTCTCTCTCTCTCTCTCTCTCTCTCTCTCTCTCTCTCTCTCTCTCTCTCTCTCTCTCTCCCCTCTCCCTGCCTCCCTCGGAAATGAGTTTTCATAGATAATGGTACGCGTGGCTACATATTGATCCATTTTCCCACCACGTATTACACGTCTAAAAGCGTGTCCATCGCAAACACGCGCGTCTATATATGGCAAAGAATTATTTATAGATTGGTGTACACACTTCCCTTTAATCTCATGACCCTCGCGACGCGATGGCAGACGGTTACGTAGCGCGCAAAGCGTCTCTTTTGTATTTTTGCGACACAAACTCTCCCTTATAGCGGCTCATACGGCTTCGGGTATATTCATAGGCGCGCATTTTGATAGCGCTTATCCGAAAGCGAGGAGACACCAGAAAATTACGATCCGTTGAGGAGCGAAGGCTCTCCCGCCCGTTTCCCCGTCCGGTCTACCTTCTTTTTACTAGCATGAACGTGGCGGGCATTTTTACCAGCTGAATCAGCGGTATAAAAAAGGGATCATCGCGGGTACATCGTCTATCTCCATGTAGTTTCAGCGTGAGTCACGGAAATTTATATGAAAGCGAAATTGGCGAAATGACGGCCATGAAAAGCTCAAATTTTCGAAATTGTGAAAAATGGCCTCAGTTTTGTTTATAACAATTCCTGCTGTTTCTCCCATTAATCCGTCGACCGCCGCTGGGACGCATCTGTCCCAAGGAATGTTTGGAAAATTCTATTGGAATTATAAATTCTGTCAGTAGCAAAAAGTGCAATAAACAAAGGTTTGCTTTATTGTGATTTACTGGCATGGGCGTACATATCACCGGGGAAAAAACACCCCCCACCCCCCCTCCCCCTCAAAAAAGAGAAATAAATAAAAAAATTGTCAAAGTCGATAAATTTAATTCGATGTGTCGCGATAAATTTGGAACGCGTTAGATTTTCCCTTAACGCGCGTCTCCGAAAATATCGACGCGCGAACGCGCACGTCGTATTGTTTCCGCGCGAAATAAAAGCGGCTGTATTTATAGCGCTAATCTCCGCGATTCTCTCGCAGCGGCTAGGCGGAAGCGTTCCCGCGAAATTACAATTCTCCGCAAATCTCCGTCCGAGCGCGCGAGTTCTCGTGTCCTCCATTCGGCGCAACACGGTACCAAGAAAATGCGGTTTAAAGTTTCGGAGTATACGTGCGGCGGCGCAGCCAGTTGGTTAGCAGTTGCGTGCGCTGCACGTAATATCTCTCGCGCAATTTTCTCCATCGTTCCAGCCTTAAATTGTCGCCTTCGCGTGCGTGCGCGCGCGCGCGCGTAAAAATGCGCTTGTAATAGCATTACATACGGGGGAGGGGATGAAAAAAGAAAAAAGATCCGATTATACGTGCACAAGGATTTCTCAATTCATTAGAAAACCCCCAACAACAACGCTGAGACTTAGGGCGCGTTTGCTTCGGACGCTTACACGCTTTAAGCGCTTATAAGCATCGCTCACATTGTTCACTTCGGCGCTACAAGCGCTCACAAACTGCACGCCGACGTCATGTGTGACGTCATGACTCGCGCTTACAATCGCTTCTTCTATCGAGGCGGTCAAAGCGTAAACGCTAATGAGCGCTTATTTTCCAAAGGGAACATAAGTAAGCGCTTATTTGAAGCAATCT